CAGAGGGGTCGGCTGGGGGCTGAGGGCGGGGGACAGCTCAGATACACGCTTCAGCAATGCGTTCAGCACCGCAATAGTCAGTCATCCAGTCACACCCGCTCCGGTTCCTACTGTACTCTTCTGCTCTCTCGCTATTTTCCTTTTCCACAAGATTTTGCCGTAGTACAATTGTCGATGGAGGGTGTCGTCGTTTTTACGATTCGAAATTGGAAATGTACAAGCATCCCGTATCGGCTTAAAATCTATTGAAAATCAAGAGTGCGATGTTGTATACATGTACAACATATTTTGTACATGGTATAAATTACAAAATATATTGTACACCCACGGACATATTTTTACGGTGTCCACTGTACCCAGCCTTCATTTGTATAATTACAAAAGGACAACAAAAATGCTTTCTCCTGTCATTTAGAGGAGTGTGGAAATAACCTTTACGGTGACGGTCATCGCAGTTGTCGATTTTCAACAGTGTGGTCGATGGCAGCCACGGACTATCGGTTTAGGGGCCCTGTCGGGAAACTGCTCCGAGGGGCCCCAAAAGATACCTTTTTGCCTTCAAAGGACCCCAAAAGATACGTTTTTGCCTTCAAAGGACCCCAAAAGGTACCTTTTTGTCTTCAAAGGACCCCAAAAGATACCCTTTTCTCTTCAAAGGGTCCCAAAAGATGCCTTTTTGCCTTCAAAGGATCCCAAAAGATGCCTTTTTGCTTCAAACGACCCAAAAGATACCTTTTGCCTTCAAAGGACCCCAAAAGATACCTTTTTGCCTTCAAGGGGCCCAAAAAGACACTTTTCTTTTTGTCTGGGGGCCCGGTCGGGGCTTTTCGACGGGCCAACCCGGGCCAGTCCGTGGCTGATCGATGGCATTCTCCGCACAACAACAGTTTACAAGGTGGACGCGCCTCGGAGGCGCGCGCGGGAGCGGCAAAGTTTCCGTGGTCCGTGCCGCTGGTCTGCGCTGCGGGCGCCGCCTCTCCGGGACCTGCTTGCTTTACACTCCAGGTGAGAGCAGAGCGACTCCAGCCAAATTGAGACGGAGGGTGATGAGAAAAAATGGCAAGTGGTTCGCGTGGCGGCGTTGGCGTTGGCGGGGTGGGGCGGGGCGGGGCGGGGTGTGCAGAGGGGCTTGCCTGCGTGCGACAGGCCAGGTTTTAGGGCGTTATATTGACGATGGCGTGTGCGGGCGGGTCGCGGGAAAGGATAGAGTGTTATCGATATGATGGGAGCAAACGAAAAAAGAGAATGAAAAAAAAACTGTGGGCCTTACTTTTTAGCAAATAAATTGTTCCTAATTTCGTTTCGCTTTTCAAACCTTTTTTTGTTTGTTTTTTTCATTATTTTTGTGCGATAGAGACGTCAGACATATTGAGATTGTTTAAGTTGAAATGTTGGCCGCACCCGTCTCCCACCGAAACATTTCACCTTCGGGTCTCCTACGCGCCAGCTTACCTTTCTTTTTTCTTTCTCTCTCCTTTCGGCCCGGCGCCACTCGTATTGTTATTATTATTTATGACTCCATCACCATATTATAGTTTCGCGCCATAGATTCAAACGTGCAAGTGACGCGGCGTGGTAATGCTCATGTATTTCACACGCAATGTACGTATACCGCAGGCGGGGGGGGG